CTGATTGCACATGCATATCATTATTTCAATTAAAAAACAATCATGCATGCACGCCATATTTTGTTAATGTGATCACTCTCCTTAATAAGAGGACAGATATTACTAAATTTACATTAGCTTAGATTTACGATAATTAATGCATATAAACCAGTTTTTGATTATCCTTTATTTGTTAAAAATAAAATATTTTTGAACGAACGAATAAGTTGGTCATTAAAGAGATATTATTTAGCGAAACTATTAGCCACCTTTTTTACTTTTCATTTAGATAATGGATGAACAAAATATCAAAAAAACTGTCGACTTTATTTATAATAATTTTAGTATGTTGAGAAGAAGGATTTTATTTGGAGACGCTGACCATTTTAAAACATGGTTAATAAATCATGGAATGTTAAATAATAAAGTAAGTAAATTTAACTTTAACAAATAAGGATAAAAAAATATATCTTATTTAAAAATTTATATTGATTAAGTATTTTTTTTATTTAAAGGACCAAATCTCCGAGTTTGTGCGATTTTTAATGGATAACATTCAAGCTTTAAATAATGAAGGTGAAAGATCGGATGAGTTGAAAAAATATCAAGAATTATTAGATTGTTGGAATAATCAGTACAAAATTACAAAAGCCCAGTTAAAACTTATAATTAAAAGACCTGTAGAAATAGTCAACGTAACGCATAAACTGAACTTAGCCAAAAAATACCTTAAAAAAAAGGTTTCTTGTTATGAAAAAGTTAATTGTATAAATTTATTAAAAGATAATGAAGTGAAAATAATTGGTAAAAACAAATCGGTGATATTTGTTTGTAATAATAGAATTGTAGGTGGGGTAGTTAGGGAATCTGCTAATAAAAAAGTAGCAAGTTATTTTGGAGCTAAAATCAAAGCTACAATGGAGGTACATCCATCATTTAATCGTGGTAAAATAAATCACGCTGATAATGGAGAAATGGTCGCTCATGGTCAACGTAAGAATCCTTTAGATTCATTTGTTGGAAATTATGTTTTTAAAGATGAAAAAGATATAAATTCAGAGGCGTTAAAGGTCTATGTTGAAGATGGAGATTTAATCGCAAATTGGATATATGATCAGGCAAGGGAGAATTTACCTTGGATCACGGAATCTTACGAACAATTTAAAAAAAAAGTAAATATAAGACGAGATGGAATGATCGGTGCATTATTTTGTGCAAAAAATTATGAGGCAAATGGACATTCTGATAATGACCGATCTGATTGGGCGTTAGGTTTTGTTTATGAGGAGGGTATTGTGAAAGATGGTCATTTTTTTTATCCCGAATATGGCGTAGCTATAGAAATGACATCTAATTCGACATGGTATTGGTTAACAAAGGCAGTACATGGTACTGCAATAATAGATTTAAGTGAGGGTGGTACTCGATATACTACAGCTATTACTCTAACTGAGAAAACAGCTAGAGCAATTGAAAGAACAGAAAAATGAAAAATCAATAGTTAATTTATTTTTATTTTTTTATCTTTTAACTGAGCGGTGTGTAATATCAGTCGATCATTTTTTTTACTATTATCAATTTTAATTTAATATTTTTTTTTAAAAAATAAATTTTCGATATATAGCAATTAGAATATAAAAATTATGTAAGTGTATCCAATTTTGTATTTAAATTACGTCCTGTAATATCAAAAAGCGTAATATTACGCCATTGAAAAAATTTACGTATGCTATATTATTTCAAAGGTTTATTACATAAAAAAATCTTATATATTGAAAATTTTAGTAATCCTTATTTTATTACATAATCCACGAGATAAGAAAATTTTCTCACACTCTGTTAACTCGCTTTGTTATAGTATTTGAGGTATTTATTAAATAAAAAAAAATAAAATAAAATATAAAATTATTTTAATGTGCACTAGAAGCACTAGTGCCAACAAGTTCTTCAGTTACTTCAACTAATTCAAATTGAGATTGAACTGAAGTTCTACTAACCCTATCATTATCACTGTCTTCATCATCACTTTTAATTCCTCTTTTTTTTAAAATATTTTTCTAGAAAAATTAAAAAATTTTTTTTAATATTATTTATATAAATAATACGTAATATTACTTAAAATTTTGTAATACTTACCAAATTCCTTTTCATTTTACTTTCTATTATTGATTTCGTTATTTGAATGTTATCATTTGTTGGATCCAATATGACATGGCATACGCTAACTGCGTATGCAACTTGTTTATTCGATGCTAAACTTGAATCTGGCCACACTTTTTCTAAGATACGGGATATATAAGTGGGCGTATTCGGACCTCCATCTTTGTTAATTTGTTGCTCTAATTTTTCGTAACATTGCTTTATAGAAGGCGATTTTTTCCACAAATGTATTTCTCTTGGGGTTGCATTTGTGCTTATCGGAGGTAGATCAATTTCTCCAAATACTGAAAACAAAGCTTCTTTTGTTCTAGAAGTCAATGCACCCCGAAGACTTCTATGCTTGTGCATTAACTATTTAAAAATATAAATTTATTTGTTAATTTAAAAGCTTAGATAAATAAAGCAAAATTTTTCTAATATTACCTGTTGAGATATATCTTTATTATATAAAACCGACCAGCGGACTTCGCTTAATTGTCCAAAATATATAGCGTGGTTTTCAGACATATAATCAACCGTAGCATTATAAAATTGTTCTTTACTTGGATAAATACTTTTAAAAAATACTTTTTTTGCGACATTATTTATAATGTCCTAAATAAATTAAAATCTTAATCGTAAATAATAGTAATATAATATAAATATAATATAAAAATAAAAGTTTTATTACTTTCGTAAATTCTTTATTCATATTTAATTGTTCGTGATCTACCTCCATTTGTTCTAACCGTTCCTCAATAGCATTTTGCCTCGCCAATAATTCATCAACTTTTTTATTAATTTCTGAATTTTGTTGAATGATTTTTTGCAATAGTTCGGTGGTTTTATCTTCATCTATTTTGATTTCTTTAATTAAAAAATAATAATAATTTCAATTTAAAAAATTAATTAAAAAAATTAATTACCATCAAGAATTATTGGAGAGCTAACAGTCTCAATTGTATTCTTCGTTCTCTTTGGTGGGGATGGTGGGGATGGTCGAGATGGGGAGGTATCTTCTTCATCATCACGGTCAATTCTCCTCTTCCTTCCTGCGACTAAATCGTTAAATGTCATTCTAGTCCTTTCAAAAATTTTTTGATTTTTAGGCATTTTATGTTGATTTAATAAGAAAAATTTTGTGGATATTTATGTAGTTGGTTTGAGTTTGTGTGTGTATAATTAGTGTGGATTGAGAATTTCTTCGCGTATTTATAGATATTTTCATATTACAAAATTTATTATTATAATGCAGGATTAAACGCGCGATGTTAAAAAATATGTATTATAATTAAAAGGTTTTATTAATGCGAAGTTTATTAACAATTACATGATAAAAATTTAAAAAAAAATACATTCCGTTTCAAATGTACACATGTTTGATAAAATGTAATTGTCTTTCAATTACTTGATCAAGTATAAAGTATAAAATTTGAATAATAAAATTAAATTATCTATTATCTTCGCCATTTATTTTTTGATTTCAAATAATCTGTAGATGTAAAAAAAAAAAGCTAAACAATTACGGAATTATATTTTGTATTCAGTAATCTGTCAAACTTGCATTTAATTATCTAAAAAATTTTTTTTTATGAAAAAATACAAATGTGCATACATGTTTGATAAAAATGTATTATGTTTATTCTTAATTATGAAGTCACGTAAAATAATCTGTGTAAAAAAAAATAATACATAACGTAAATACATATGACGTACACTTGCAAATTTTATTCTTAAATGTATTAGACTATTCTTAATACATATAGACTATTCTTAATTATTGACGGATCTTCATTTTTAGGAATCGGGTTACTTTTTTTTTTTTAAAGAAAATTTACTTTTAGAAACGTTACAGTGTTCCTTTATCTTATTAACTTGGTTATTTCGACTAGAAGTATTCTTTTTGGTAATGAAATGATATTGTAAATATATTAGGAAAGGTTCTTTCAGCATTGACTTAAACATTATTATATTAATGTTTCTTTTTTATATTTGGTAGGGAGCGGACTCTTATGTTATAATACCAATCAGATTACAGAATTGCTACAGTTGATAAGACAAATAGTTAGGTTTCGTTAGGCATCAGTTCATTCGTTTTTTGTTAGATTTCATTAGATTTCGTTAGGTTTCGTTTATATGTGACCTTTGTATGTGATGTCTTGTAAATGCTCTTGTAAATCCATCGGAGGGAGTGCTTTAACTTTGGAAACATATTAATCTTTCTTTTTTTCTTTATTTTGTAGGAAACTATTTGGCAATCCTGAATCTTAATTCGAAGAGAAGTAATGATTCAGCATCTAAATTTTGTGTTTTTTTTTG